GACCTCCCTCACACAGACGGACCTTCCCCTCACACAGACGGCCCCTCCTCACACAGACAGGACCTCTCTCACACAGACAGACCCTTCTCACACACAGACGGCCCTCTCCCCTCATACAGACAGACCTCTCCCTAACACAGACGGCCCTTCTCCTCACACAGACGGACCCTTCTCACACACAAGACCCTTTCCCCTCATACAGACAGACCTCTCCCCTCACACACACAGACGGCCCCTCTCCCTCACAGACGGCCCTCCCCTCATACAGACAGACCCTCTCCTCACACAGACGGCCCCTCCCCTAACACAGACGGCCCCTCTCCCCATACAGACAGACCCTTCCCCTAACACAGACGGCCCTCTCCCCACACAGACGGGCCCCTCTCCCCTCCACACAGACGGCCCCTTCTCCCTCACACAGACGGCCCTCTCCCTCACACAGACGGCCCTCTCCACACCCCCTCACACAGACGGGACCTCTCACACAGACGGCCCCTCTCTCACACAGACAGCCTCCCCTCACACATAGACGGACCTCCCTCCACACAGACGGCCCTCTCCCTCACACATAGACAGGACCTCTCCCTCACACAGACGGACCTCTCCCTCACACAGACGGCCCCTCTCCCTCCACACAGACGGGACCTCTCCCCTCACACAGACAGACCCTCACACAGACGGCCCTCTCCCCTCATACAGACAGACCCTCTCCCCTAACACAGACGGCCCCTCTCCCCTCACAGACGGACCTCTCCCTCCACACAGACGGACCCTCTCACCCCCCTCACACAGACGGACCCTCTCCCTCACACAGACGGCCCTTCCCTCACACAGACGGCCCTCTCCTCACACAGACGGACCTCTCCCCACACAGACGGCCCCTCTCCAGCGCTCCCTCCTCACACAGACGGCCCTCCCTCACACAGACGGCCCCTCTCCCTCACACACAGACGGACCCTCTCCTCACACAGACGGCCCCTCTCCTCACACAGACGGCCCTCTCCTCACACAGACGGCCCCTCACACAGACGACCCTCACACAGACGGACCCTCTCCCTCACTGACGCCCTCTCCCCTCACACAGACGGCCCCTCACACAGACGGACCTTCCCTCACACAGACGCCCTTCCCCCACACAGACGGACCTCACACAGACGGCCCTCTCCCCTCACACAGACGGACCCTTCCCTCACACAGACGGACCCTCTCCCCTCACAGACAGACGGCCCTTCCCCACACACAGGACCTCACACAGACGGCCCCTCACACAGACGGCCCCTCTGCACACAGACGACCCTCTCCCCACACAGACGCACCCTCTCCCCTCACACAGACGGACCCCTCCCCACACAGACGGCCCCCTCTCCCCTGCACACAGACGGACCTCTCCCCCCACACAGACGGCCCCTCTCCCTCACACACAGACGGGCCCCTCTCCCCTCACACAGACGGACCCCTCTCCTCACACAGACGGCCCTCTCCCTCACACAGACGGCCCCTCTCCCCTCCACACAGACGGCCCCTCTCCCCCACACAGACGGACCCTTCCTCACACAGACGGACCCTCTCCTCACACAGACGGCCTCTCCCCCACACAGACGGACCCTCTCCCTCACACAGACACCCTCTCCCCACACAGACGGACCCTTCTCACACAGACGGCCCTTCCTCACAGACGGCCCTCTCCTCACACAGACGGACCTCTCACTCACGCACGACCTCAATAGCTCCTGTTTAAGTGGCCTCAACTTCACCTAAAACAATTCTCTCACCTCAAACACACACCTCATCCTCCACCAATCAAATCACTAGCTGCCTCCCTTTACTTAAAACAATTCCTCTTTCATTACTTAAACAATTAATTTTTTATTACTTACGGTCACTACTTACTTATGTGTTTACCTCTTACTAAACAACCTCTCACCCCTCTACTTTACATATTTTTCTCTTCTTCTTCCTCTCTTCCTCCTCTCCCTCCCTCTCTCTCTCTGTTCCTCCTCCTCCTCCTCCCTCCTCTTGTTCTCCTGTCTCCCTTCCTCACACACACACACACACACACACACACACACACACACACACACACACACACACTAATGAATAAAAATAAAAGAACTTGGTTAATTTTCGTTAAAAGATTAAATTATTTTTTAATTTAGTGGGTGGGCAGGGGTGGCAGAGCAGCAGGTGGGTGGGTGGCAGAGCAGCAGGTGGGTGGGTGGCAGAGCAGCAGGTGGGTGAGTGACAGAGCAACAGGTGGGTGGGGTGGAGAGCAGCAGGTGGGTGGGTGGCAGAGCAGCAGGTGGGTGGGTGGCAGACAGAGCAGCAGGTGGGTGGGTGAGAGCAGCAGGGGCAGAGCAGCAGGTGGGTGGGTGGCAGAGCAGCAGGTGGGTGGGTGGCAGACAGCAGTGGGTGGCAGGGGTGGGTGGACAGAGCAGCAGGTGGGTGGGTGGCAGAGCAGCAGGTGGGTGGGGTGGCAGAGCAGCAGGTGGGTGTGTGGCAGAGCAGCAGGGGTGGGTGGCAGAGCAGCAGGGGAGTGCAGAGCAGCAGGTGGGTGGGTGACAGAGCAGCAGGTGGGTGGGTGGCAGAGCAGCAGGTGGGTGGGTGGCAGAGCAGCAGGTGGGTGGGGTGGCGGCAGGTGGGTGGGTGGCAGAGCAGCAGGTGGGTGGTGGCAGAGCAGCTGTACAGCAGGGTGGGTGGCAGAGCAGCAGGTGGGTGGGAGGCAGAGCAGCAGGTGGGTGGGTGGCAGAGCAGCAGGTGGGGGTGGGGTACAGAGCAGCAGGTGGGTGGGTGACAGAGCAGCAGGTGGGTGGGGTGACAGAGCAGCAGGTGGGTGGCAGAGCAGCAGGGGGTGGCAGAGCAGCAGGTGGGTGGGTGGCAGGTGTAAGGGTTCCAGCGTAGATCACTCCCTACCCCCCTCACTCCCAACATGTTTTTGCCTCGGAGAGATGAGGAGGTGGTAGGTGAGGAGTGGTGAGAGAGGAGGTGGTGAGGTGGTGAGAGGTGGTGTGGGGTGGTGAGGTGAGGGTGGTGAGGGAGGAGATGAAGAAGTGGTGAGGTGGTGAGATGGTGTGGGGTGGTGTGGAGTGGTGAGGAGAGGTGAGAGGTGAGGTGAGGTGGTGAGGGAGGGGTGAGGTGAGGAGGGGGAGGAGGTGAGGGGGAGGGGAGGAGGAGGGGGAGGGAGGTTGGTTCTAGTTCAGGATATCAGAGGGGGAGAGGAGGAGAAGGATGAGGGGGGTGAAGAAATGGGGAGGAGAGGGGAAAGGGGAATGGGATGAAGGTGAAGGAGCAGGGTGTGGTACAATGGAAGGAGGGGTGGAGGAGGAGAGGGGGTGGATTGGAAGGGGAGGAGGAGGAGGTGGGTTGGGAAGGGAGTAGCAGGGAGAGATGGAAGGGTAGAAGGATGGGGGAAAGGGGAGAAGGGATGGGGTTGAGGGAAAGGGAGGGGTTGAATGGATGAAATAAGGGGAAGAAGAGCGTAAGGGGTTAAGGAGGATGAATAGAGGTAATGGGAAAGGGGTTGGGAGTAAAGGGGGAAGGGTTAAGGGATGAGGGAAATGAGAGGAAGAGGGTTAAGGGGGGTTAAGGGTAAGGGAAGAGACGGGGTAAGAGGAAGGAGGAAGGGGGAAGGAGGAAGGGGAAGGAGGAAGGGGAGGAGGAAGGGGGAAGGAGGAAGGGGAAGGGTACAACTGCCATGGATCAATTACCACCCTCCACCACACCTCTACTCGATTCCAGGATTTTCCAATGACCGATTTTCGAGGACTTGACTGTGTTGGTGTAAGGGAGGAGGAGGAGGGGGAGGGAGGAGGAGGAGGAGAGGAGGAGGAGGGAGAGGAAGAGGAGGGAGGAGGAGAGGGAGAGGAGGAGAGGGAGGAAGAGGAGGAGAGGGAGGAGGAGGAGGGAGGAGGAGGAGGAGGAGGGAGAGGGAAGAGGGGAGAGGGGAAGAGGAGAGGGAAGAGGAAGAGGAGGGAGGGAGGGAGAGGGAGAGGAGGAGGGAGGAGGGAGGGAGAGGAAGAGGGAGGAGGAGGGAGGGAAGAGGGGAAGAGGAGGGGGAGGAGGAGGGAAGAGTGAGGGAGGAGAGGAAGAGGGAGTGAGGAGGAGGAGAAGGGAGGAGGAGGAGAGGGAGAGGAGAGGAGGGAGGAGGAGAGGGAGGAAGAGAGGGGAGGAGGAGAGGGAAGAGGAGGGGGGAGGAGGAGGAGAGGGAAGGAGGAGGAGGAGAGGGAGGGAGGAGAGGAGGGGGAGGAGGAGGAGGGGAAGAGGAAGAGGGAGGAGGGAGGGAAGAGAGGGAAGGAGGAGAGGGGAAGAGAGGAAGAGGGAGGAGGAGGAGGAAGAGAGGGAAGGAGGAGGAGGGAGAAGGAGGAGAGGGGGAGGGAGGAAGAGGGAAGGAGGAGGGAGGGGGAGGAGGAAGAGGGTGAGGAGGGAGGAAGAGGGGAGAGAGAGGGAGGAGGAGGGAGGAGGAGGAGGGAAGGAGGAGGAAGGAGAGGTGAGGGAGGAGAAAGAGATGGAGGAGGAGGGAGGAGGGAGGGAAGAGGGGAAGGACGAGGAGGAGAGGGAGGAGGGAAGAGGGGAGGAGGAGGAAGAGGAGAGGGAGGAGGAGGAGGGAGGAGGAGGGGGAGGAAGGTGAGGAGGAGGAGAGGGAGAGGAAGAGGGAAGAGGAGGGAAGAGAATGAGGAGAGGGAAGGGAAGAGTGAGGAGGGAGGAGGGAGGAGGAGAGGGGAGGAGGGGGAGGAGGAGGGGAGGAAGAGGAGAGGGAAGAGGAAGAGTGAGGAGAAGGAGAGGGGAAGAGGGAGGGGAGGGGAGGAGGAGGGAAGAGGAGGAGGGAGAGAGGGAGGAGGGGAAGAGGAAGAGTGAGGAAGAGGGGGAGAGGGGAGAGGAAGAGTGAGGGGGAGGAGGGAAGAGGAAGAGTGAGGAGGAGGAAGGAGGGTGGAGAAGGAGTGTTGGGAGGCAGGGTCGTTGGAGTCGTAGGGAGGAGTTTGAAGGTTACTGGAGGTGTGTAGAGGTTACTGGATAATTGAGGGTCTGGAGGCCTTGGAGGGTTCTGGATGCCTGGAGGGGTCTGGAGGCCTTGAGGGTCTGGAGGTCTTTGGAGGGGTCTGGAGGCCTTTGGAGGGTCTGGAGGTCTTTGGAGGGGCTGGAGGCTGGAGGGGTCTGGAGTCTTTGGAGGGGTCTGGAGGTCTTTGGAGGGGTCTGGAGGTCTTTGGAGGGGTGGAGGTCTTGAGGGTCTGGAGGCCTTTGGAGGGGTCTGGAGGCATTTGGAGGGGTCTGAGGCCTTTGAGGCTCGGAGGCCTTTGGAAGGGTTCCTGAGGCCTTGGAGGAGTGTTGAGGTCACTAGACGTAGTTGGAGGTCGTTGAGGTAGAATTAATGTTCTTGATAATTATTATTGTAATCAGCACCACAAAGGTTCTTCCTTCCCCCTTTCCTTATTCTTCCTCCTCTCCTCCTCCTCCACCCTCTCATCTTCCTCTTCTCCTCCCTCCTCCTCCACCACCCCTCTTTTCTTCCTCTCCTCCACCCACCTCTTCCTCTCCTCCTCCTCCACCCTCTCATCTTCCTCCCCCTCCCCTCCCCACCCCTCTTTCCCTCCTCCACCCATCTCTTCCTCTCCTCCTCCTCCACCCTCTCATCTTCCTCATCTCCTCCTCCCACCTCTCATCTTCTCTTCTCCTCCTCCTCCACCACCCTCTTTTCTTCCTCTCCTCCACCCACCCCTCTTCCTCTCCTCCTCCTCCACCCTCTCATCTTCCTCTTCTCCTCCTCCTCCTCCACCACCCTTTTCTTCCTCTCCTCCACCCACCTCCTCTCCTCCTCCTCCACCCTCTCATCTTCCTTCTCCTCCTCCTCCACCACCCTTTTCTTCCTCTCCTCCACCCACCCTCTCTTCCTCCTCCTCCTCCCAGGCCAGAGGTGAGGCAGCCTCCACTCTTTAATTTATGGAGATGGAGGTTTATCATTACGAGAAAACTACACCTGGAGCACTACACCTGGCACTACACCAGAGCACTCACTGAGCACCACACCTGAGCACTACACCTGAGCCCTACACCTGAGTACTACACCTGAGCACTACACCTGGAGCACTACACCTGGAGCACTACACCTGGAGCACTACACCAGGAGCACTACACCTGAGCACTACACCTGGAGCACTACACCTGAGCACTACACCTGAGCACTACACCTGAGCAGTACACCTGGAGCACTACACCTGGAGCACCACACCTGAGCACTACACCTGGAGCAGTACACCCGGAGCACCACCCGAGCACCACACCTGAGCCCTACACCTGGAGTACCACACCTGGAGCCCCACACCTGGAGCACCACACATGGGAGCACCACACCTGGAGCCCTACACCTGGAGCCCTACACCTGAGCAATTCCACCTGGAGCATTCCACCTGAGCACTACACCTGAGCCCCACATCTGAGCCCTACATCTGGAGCACTACACCTGGCTGCACACCTGAGCACTACACCTGAGCACTACACCTAGCTGCACACTCTGGAGCACTACACCTGGAGCACACATGACACCACACCTGGAGCACCACACCTGGAGCCCTACACCTGAGCACACCTGGAGCACTACATCTGGAGCACTACACATGGGAGCACTACACCTGGAGCCCTACACCTGAGCACTACACATTGGAGCCCCACACCTGAGCACTACACCTGGAGCCCCACACCTGAGCACTACACATTGGAGCCCTACACCTGGAGCACTACACCTGAGCACTACACCTGAGCACTACACACATTGGAGCCCCACACCTGGAGCCCTACACCTGAGCACTACACCTGGAGCCCTACACCTGGGAGCACCACACATTGGAGCCCCACACCTGGAGCACCACACCTGGAGCCCCACACCTGAGGCACACCTGGCCCCACACCTGGAGCACTACACCTGGAGCACTACACCCAGAGCCCTACATCTGGAGCACTACACCTGAGCACTACACCCTGGAGCTGTACACCTGGAGCACTACACCTGGAGCCCCACACCTGAGCCGTACACCTGGGAGCACCACACCTGAGCACTACACCTGTAGCCCCACACCTGAGCACTACACCTGAAGCACTCAAACCTGGAGCCCTACACCTGGAGCACTACACCTGAGCACTACACATTGGAGCCCCACACCTGAGCACACCTGAGCACTACACCTGAGCACTACACATGGGAGCACTACACCTGAGCCCTACACCTGGAGCACTACACCTGGAGCACTACACCTGAGCCCCACCTGGAACACCACACCTGGAGCCCTACACCTGGAGCACTACACCTGGGGCCCTACACCTGGAACACAGCACCTGGAGCCCTACACCTGGAGACTACACCTGGAGCACTACACCTGGAGCCAATTAGCGTCCATCATACCCGCATACAAGTGGATTCTAGCAAACCATCGTGTTACTTAATACTTACAAACACAACCGACTACTTATACCATGTACAGTCACGCGCCATAGTGCACCCTCTACCCCTACTGCTGACTCGATGGAAGTCGTAGCCTCGGCTTAATACCGAACGCCTCACCCACCCCTCGTTCAGTGGTACAATGTGGTAACTCGAAGCTTCGTTGATTGTACGAATAACAGTTCATGATGTAATATTTGAGAGAATATATGCATGATACAGGTTTTTTTAGTAACTTCACAACACTATATTTACCATCACTATACTTAACATCACTATACCAGAGGGATCGTTCGGTTTGCAGCCCTGACTACGACTTCCTCGAGCCAGTAGTAGCGGTAGAGGGTGCGTCAAAACTATGGCGTCAGTCTACTTATACCAAATACACTTTATAAAGACATCACTTAAGAGGTGTATTAAATTTACTTACAAATGGGTTACTTAAACCTGACATGTAATTACTTATACGTAAATATGGCCCCAGTTATAAAATTACTTACAAAAGTTATAAGTAAGGAAAGTTTACTTACAAATACCGAGGAGGAATAAACTTATCATTAATTACTAGATAAAAGTTCACCTACAGAGGTATAAAGTAAAGGGTATTAACTTAAAAACACAAATACTGTACTTACAAAGGTTTAAAGTAAGGGTCATATACTTACAAAAGTGTACTAATGGAAGTGTAAAGTATGGTCATATACTTACAAGTGAACTTAAGGGTAGTGTAAAGGGGTCATATACTTACAAAGTGTACTTAGGGTAGTGTAGTAATCATATACTTACAAAAGTGTACTTAGGGTCAAATATACTTACAAAAGTGTACTTATGGGTAGTGTAAAGTATGGTCATATACTTACAAAAGTGCACTTAAGGGTAGTGTAAAGTAGGGTCATATACTCTACAAAAGTGTACTTAAGGGTAGTGGAAGTATGGGTCATATACTTACAAAAGTGTACTTAGGGTCATATACTTACAAAAGTGCACTTAAGGGTAGTGTAAAGTATGGTCATAACTTACAAAAGTGCACTTAAGGGTAGTGTAGTAAGGGTCATATACTTACAAAAGTGCACTTAAGGGTAGTGGTCCACTGTCCAGACCAGCGAGTAAAAGGATTTACCTGGAAGAGAAAATAATAATTACTAGAAGGGAGGATTAGGAGGAGGAGGAGGAGGAAGAGGAGGACGGAGAGGAGGAGGAAGAATAGAAGAAGAGACAGGAGGGAAGAGTAAGAAGAAGGAGGAAGAGGAGGAGGAAGAGGAGGAGGAAGAAGAGGGGGAAGAGGAGGAGGACGGAGAGGAGGAAGAGTAGGAAGAAGAGGAGCAGGAGGAAGAGTAAGAAGGGAGGAAGAAGAGGAGGAGGAAGAAGAGGAGGAGGAAGAGGAGAAGGAGGGGGAGCAAAAGGAGGAGGAGGAGGAGGAGAAGGAAGAAAAAAGAGGAAGAGGAAGAAGAAACGAAGACAAGAAAAAACTAATAAAAACCAAGAGACAAAAACAAACAAATAAAAAGAATAACAAAACAAGAACAAGAAACAAAAGAAAACAAACACACGAGAGAGAGAGAGAGAGAGAGAGAGAGAGAGAGAGAGAGAGAGAGAGAGAGAGAGAGAGAGAGAGAGGAAAACAAAGAACAGACGACTAACGAAACAAAGAAACAAATAAATGAAAATAAAGGAAGAGGAAAGGAAAGAGGGTGATAACTGAGGGAATAGGAGAGACAGATAAACCAGAGATGAAAGAGAAAGGGAGATATTGATGAGGGAATCAAAGGGAGGAAGATTGAGAGAGGAGGAGAGAGAGAGAGAGACTCACGTTACCACTAACAATATAATAACACAAATACCCCAATAAATAAATGAATGTGTCTTACAATATCAATCACGCAATCACTATAATATATTCTCGAAAAAAAAATCACCCACCTTAAATACTTTGTGTACAGATCTAACCTAACCTAACCTGGAACTAACCTGACCTATAACCTGACCTGACCTGACCTGACCTATAACCTGACCTGACCCTCATAACCTGAACTGACCTATAACCCATAACCTGACCTGACCTGACCTTCAACTTTTACAAATTCCTAAAGTCACTTCTTTAAGAACTTGATTTTTTGGATTTAAATTTGACGAGCCAAAGTTTGTGTCGAAAAAGTGTAAATATTTTTTGTATTTTGGTGATGAAAAAATATATAGTTTTAAATAGTTACTGTGTGTGTGTGTGTGTGTGTGTGTGTGTGTGTGTGTGTGTGTGTGTGTGTGTGTGTGTTGTGTGTGTGTGTGTGTGTGTGTGTGTGTGTGTGTGTGTGTGTGTGTGTTCTGTGTGTGTGTGTGTGTGTGTGTGTGTGTGTGATGGAATAACTTACCTGGATGCACCTGTTATTATTATTATTTATTTTCAATTCTCTCATTTCTCATCATTATTTTATTCCCTCTTATTAAATCTTTCTATTCTTCACACCTTCCTCTGTCTCTTTTATCCTCCTTCTCCAACCTCTTATTTTCTTATGCCCTTCATTCCCTCTTTATCTCTCCCTCCCATTCTTCTCTTATCGTTTCCTATTCCTTTACTTGGCTTTTTCTACTGATTACGATGGGTTCCCCTATTAATAATAATAATACCGAACCAACCTAACCTAGCATGTGTTAACTGCCAGCATCCTAGCACAAAACCCCAGCATCGCGTCCTAGCTGTCAAGAGTACGGACCCTTGCTCAGGGCGTGCTAGCCAGGAGGTCACCCGGGATCATAGCAAGAGTACGTCCCAGCATCGTCGCCAGCAGAGTACATTCACCAGCAGCCCAGCAGAGTATATTCCCAGCAGAGTACGGCCCCAGCAGAGTACGCCCCCAGCAGTCCCAGTGAGGACCCCAGCAGAGCACGGCCCCAGCAGAGTACAGTCCCCAGCAGAGTACAGCCCCAGCAGAGTACAGTCCCCAGCAGAGTACAGTCCCCAAGCGGCCCGAGCAGAGTACAGTCCCCAGCAGAGTACAGTCCCCAGCAGAGTACAGTCCCCAGCAGAGTACAGTCCCCAGCAGAGTACAGTCCCCAGCAGAGTACAGTCCCAAACAAGAAGCAGAAAGACATGTTATTGTTGTGAGTATGATGCCATGATGTGTCCCCAGTACAGTGTCACGAGGACGTTACCAGACAGTGCCGAGGACGTTACCAGTACAGTGCCACGAGGACGTTACCAGCACAGTGCCACGAGGACGTTACTAGCACAGTGCCACGAGGACCTTACCAGCACAGTGCCACGAGGACGTTACCAGTACAGTGCCACGAGGACGTTACCAGCACAGTGCCACGAGGACCTACCAGCACAGCCACGAGGACGTTACCAGCACAGTGCCACGAGGACGTTACCACAGTGCCACGAGGACGTTACTAGCACAGTGCCACGAGGACGTTACCAGCACAGTGCCACGAGGACGTTACCAGCACAGTGCCACGAGGACGTTACCAGTACAGTGCCACGAGGACGTTACCAGTACAGTGCCACGAGGACGTTACTACACAGTGCCACGAGGACGTTACCAGTACAGTGCCACGAGGACGTTACCAGTCCAGTGCCACGAGGACGTTACCAGTACAGTGCCACGAGGACGTTACTAGCACAGTGCCACGAGGACGTTACAGCACAGTGCCACGAGGACGCTTACCAGCACAGTGCCACGAGGACGTTACCAGTACAGTGCCACGAGGACGTTACAGTACAGTGCCACGAGGATGCCACGTACAGTGCCACGAGGACGTTACCAGCACAGTGCCACGAGGACGTTACCAGCAGCCATGAGGACGTTACCAGTAGTGCCACGAGGACGTTACCAGTACAGTGCCACGAGGACGTTACCAGTAGTGCCACGAGGACGCTGCCAGCACAGTGCCACGAGGACGTTACCAGTACAGTGCCACGAGGACGTTACAGCACAGTGCCACGAGGACATTACCAGCACAGTGCCACGAGGACGTTACCAGTACAGTGCCACGAGGACGTTACTAGCACAGTTCCACGAGGACGTTACCAGTACAGTGCCACGAGGACGTTACTAGCATGCCACAGGACGTTACCAGCACAGTGCCACGAGGACGTTACCAGCACAGTGCCACGAGGACGTCACCAGTACAGTGCCACGAGGACGTTACCAGTACAGTGCCACGAGGATTAAGTACAGTGCCACGAGGACGTTAAGCACAGTGCCACGAGGACGTTACCAGTACACTGCCGAGTACAGCCCAGTGCCACGAGGATACCAGTACAGTGCCACGAGGACGTTACCAGTACAGTGCCACGAGGACGTGCAACAGTATGCTGCCCGAGGACGTTACCAGCACAGTGCCACGAGGACGTTACCAGTACAGTGCCACGAGGACGTTACGCAGAAAGCCGCCGAGGACGTTACCAGCACAGTGCCACGAGGACGTTACCAGTACAGTGCCACGAGGACGATTACAGCACAGTGCCACGAGGACGTTACTAGCACAGTGCCACGAGGACGATAAGTACAGTGCCACGAGGACGTTACCAGTACAGTGCCACGAGGACGTTACCAGTACAGTGCCACGAGGACGTCAAAGCATTAGCACAGTGCCACGAGGACGTTACCAGTACAGTGCCACGAGGACGTTACCAGCAGTGCCACGAGGACGTTGACAGCGTACAGTAACGAGGACGTTACCAGCACAGTGCCACGAGGACGCTAGCAGCAGTGCCACGAGGACGTTCCAGCACAGTGCCACGAGGACGTTACCAGTACAGTGCCACGAGGACGTTACCAGTACAGTGCCACACGAGGACGTTACCAGCACAGTGCCACGAGGACGTTACCAGCACAGTGCCACGAGCGTTACCAGCACGGTGCCACGAGGACGTTACAGCACAGTGCCACGAGGACGAAGACAGTACAGCAGCCACGAGGACGTTACCAGTACAGTGCCACGAGGACGTTACCAGCACAGTGCCACGAGGACGTTACCAGTACAGTGTCACGAGGACGTTACTTAGCACAGTGCGTCACGAGGACGTTACCAGTACAGTGTCACGAGGACGTTACAGCACAGTGTCACGAGGACGTTACCAGTACAGTGTCACGAGGACGTTACCAGCACAGTGCCACGAGGACGTTACCAGCAGTACAGTGCCACGAGGACGTACCAGCACAGTGCCACGAGGACGTTACCAGTACCGAGGACGCTGGCACAGTACCACGAGTACCTTACCAGTACAGTGCCACGAGGACGTTACTAGCACAGTGCCACGAGGACCTTACCAGTACAGTGCCACGAGGACGACATAGCACAGTGCCACGAGACATTACCAGTACAGTGCCACGAGGACGCCAGTACAGTGCCACGAGGACGTTACCAGCAGTGCCACGAGCGTTACCAGCATAGTGCCACGAGGACGCACAGCACAGCGCCACGAGGACGTTACCAGTACACGCCACGAGGACGCTACAGCACAGTGCCACGAGGACCTTCACAGCACAGTGCCACGAGGACGTTACCAGCACAGTGCCAAGGACGTTACAGTACAGTGCCACGAGGACCTTACCAGTACAGTGCCACGAGGACGCCACCAGCACAGTGCCACGAGGACGTTACAGGTACAGTACCACGAGGACCTTACCAGTACAGTGCCACGAGGACGACAGCACACCACGAGGATTACCAGCACGCGTGCCACGAGGAATTAATGCGCATGGTGCCACGAGGACGTTACCAGTACAGTCGAGGACGTTACCAGCAGTGCCACGAGGATTCACCAGTACAGTGCCACGAGGACATTACAGTACAGTGCCACGAGGACGCTACCAGCACAGTGCCACGAGACGCATTGCACAGATGCCACGAGGACCGTACGTGCCACGAGGACTTTACCAGTGCCGAGGATGTGTACAGTGCCACGAGGACGCTAGGCACAGTACCACGAGGAATTACCAGCGGCCACGAGGACGTTACATTAGCACAGTGCCGAGGGACAGTACAGTGCCAACGAGGATCAGCTGTTCGAGACGTTACGCACAGTGCCACGAGGACTGCTACAGTGCCAACGAGGACGCTACAGGTAACAGCACCACGAGGATCTCGACGGCGGTAGCGCCACGAGGACGTTACCAGCACAGTGCCACGAGGACGATACGCAGCAAAGTACCACGAGATCCACAGTGCCACGCACAGCCAACCAGGACGATACCACAGTGCCACGACGATACCAGCCAGTGCCACCGATACCAGCACAGCCACGAGGACGCATACAGTGCCACGAGACGCCGGCAAAGACCACGAGGACGTTACCAGCACAGTGCCACGAGGACGCCACTGGTACTGTGCACCACGATCTGAAACAGTGCCACGAAGGCTACCCCTGTACAGTGCCACGAGCCGGCACGGTAGGAACCATGTGGGGCTTGGTCGCGGAGGAGGAGGAGGAGGAGGAGGAGGGTTGAGTGCGGCGGCAACCGGCAGACACGACGCGATCAATAGCGTGTACTGGACCAACTCCACGCCACGCCTCTGAGTTATACCCGCCGCCCAATGTCTCTCACACACACGCCCGCTCGCCCTCACGCCCATAACGTCTCCCATCAGGCCTCACTATAAACCCCATCATCTTGAAAATTTAGTTTTTTGTGTAGGCGTGAGGCGTGATGGCGGAGGTGAGGGATCTCAACAGCATCCCTGAGCACGGCCATGATGCCTCACCAGGACGGGTGAGGGGTGAGGGGTGAAGCCAGTTCTTGTCTTACCTTGCTGGAAGGAGGAGGGGTGGTGGTGGAGCAGCAGTGTAGAGATGGTGGGCGGGGGAGGCTGCAGAGCCGCCGTCAATACAGACAACACCACCACTAACTAACACACCCTACACCTAGGGAGAGGCACAAACTCACACTTGAACAACACCTACAACCTGTCGTGTATCACAACCTGAGTCAGCTTCCACAACTCTTGAATACAACCTTGTCTCGCCTCTGTACACCGACAACAACCTTGTTGAGCACGCGCTGTGGCGCCCGCTGCCCCTGCTGCTGCTTTGGTGAAGGGCGGCACTGTTGAGGGTGGAACTGGTGGAGGGCGGCACTAGTGGAGGCGGCACTAGTGGAAGGTGGCACAGGTGGAGGGCATGCCATGGGTGGCACTGGTGGAAGTGCACGGGTGGCACAGGTGGAGGCACTGGTGGAGGGTGGCACTGGTGGAGGGCACTAGTGACGGCGGCACTAGTGGAAGGTGGGTGGAGGGGCACTGTTGGAGGGTGGCACTGGTGGAGGCGGCACTAGGGAAGGTGGCACAGGTGGAGGGCGCACTGTTGGAGGGTGGCACTGGTGGAGGGCGGCACTAGTGGAGGCAGCACTAGTGGAAGGTGGCACAGGTGGAGGGCAGCACTGTTGGAGGGTACTGGTGGAGGGCGCACTAGGAAGGTGGCACAGGTGGAGGAGCACAGCTGGAGGGTGGCACTGGTGGAGGCAGCACTGATGGAGGCGAGCACTGGTGGAGGTGCACGTGGAGGGCGGCACTAGTGGAAGGTAAGGCGGTGAGGCACAGCTGGAGGGCACTGATGAAGGGCACCTGCTGAAGGGTGGAACTGGTGGAGGCAGCACTAGTGGAAGGTGCACAGGTGGAGGTGGCATTGCTGGGAGGCGGCACTGGAAGGTGGCACAGGTGGAGGGCGGCACAGCTGGAGGGTGGCACTGATGGAGGCGGTACTGTTGAAGGGTGGCACTGGTGGAGGGCGCACTGGTGGAGGGTGGCACTGGTGGAGGGCGGCACTAGTGGAAGGTGGCACAGGAGTGGGCGGCACAGCTGGAGGGTGGTGCACTGATGGGAGAGCACTGTTGAAGGTGGCACTGGTGGAGGGGCACTAGTGGAAGGTGGCACAGGTGGAGGGTGGCATTGCTAGAGGGGCGGCACTGGTGGAAGGTGGCACAGGTGGAGGGCGGCACAGCTGGAGGGCGGCACTGGTGGAGGGCGGCACTGTTGAAGGGTGGCACTGATGGAGGGTGGCACTGATGGAGGGTGGCACTGGTGGAGGGTGGCACTGATGGAGGGTGGCACTGATGGAGGGCTGCACTGATGGAGGGTGCACTGGTGGAGGGCACTGATGGAGGGGTGGCACTGGTGGAGGTGGCACTGATGGAGGGCATGGTGGAGGTGGCAATGATGGAGGGTGGTACTAATGGGGGTGGCACTGGTGGAGGGCTGCACTGATGGAGGGTGGCACTGGTGGAAGGTGGCACTGGTGGAGGTGGCACTGATGGAGGGTGGCACTGATGGAGAGTGGCAAATGGTGGAAGGTGCACTGGTGGAGGGCTGCACTGATGGAGGGTGGCACTGGTGGAAGGTGGCACTGGGGAGGGTGGCACTGGTGAGGGGTGGCACTGATGGAGGGTGGCACTGGTGGGGTGGCACTGGTGGAGGTTGGCACTGGTGGAGGTGGCACTGATGAGGGGTGGCACTGATGGAGGGTGGCACTGATGGAAGGTGGCACTGATGGAGGGTGGCACTGGTAGGTGGCACTGATGGAGGCTGCACTGATGGAGGTGCACTGGTGGAAGGTGGCACTGGTGGAGGGTGGCACTGGTGGAGGGTGGCAATTGATGGAGGGTGGCACTGATGGAGGTGGCACTGTGGAGGGCTGCACGCACAGAGGTGGCACTGGTGGTGGCACTGGTGGAGGTGGCACTGGGGGAGGGGGCACTGGTGGTGGCACTGGTGGAGGGCGGCACTGATGGAGGGTGGCACTGGTGGGAGGGGCTGCACTGATGGAAGGTGGCACTGGTGGGAGGGTGGCACTGATGGAGGGCGGCACTGATGGAGGGCGGGCACTGGTGGAAGGTGGCACTGGTGGAGGGCGGCACTGGTGGAGGCACTGGTGAGGGGTGGCACTAGTGAATGGCACTGGTGAGGGCGGCACTGATGGAGGGTGGCACTGGTGGAGGGCGGCAATGATGGAAGGTGGCACTGGTGGAGGGCTGCACTGAGGGTGGCACTGGGAAGGTGGTGACTGGTGGAGGGCGCACTGGTGGGAGGGCGGCACTGGTGGAAGGGCACTGGTGGAGGTGGCACTGGTGGAGGTGGCAGGATGAGGGCGCACGGTGGAGTGTCGCAATGATGAGGGCGGCACTGACGGAGGGTGGCACTGGTGGAGGGGCGGCACTGATGGAAGGTGGCACGGCGGAGGGATGCACTGATGGAGGGTGCACTGGTGGAAGGTGGCACTGGTGGAGTGGCGCACTGGTGATGGGCACTGGTGGAAGGTGGCACCTGGTGAGGGTGGCACTGGTGGAGGGTGGCACTGATGGAGGGCGGCACTGGTGGAGGGCTGCACTATGGAGGGTGGCACTGGTAGGGCAGTAATTGAGAGGTGGCACTGGTGGAGGGCACACGATGGAAGGTGGCACTGGTGGAGGGTGGCACTGATGGAGGGCGCACTGGTGAGGGGCACTGGTGAAGGTGGCACTGGTGGAGGGCGGCACTGGTGAGTGGGTGGCACTGGTGGAGGGCGGGTACCCAGGGTGGCACTGTGGCGGCACCTGATGGAGGGTGGCACTGGTGGAGGGCTGCACCTGATGGAAGGCGGCACTGGTGGAGGGCTGCACTGGTGGAGGGCGGCACTGATGAAGGTGGCACTGGTGGAGGCGGCACTGCATGGAAGGTGGCACTGGTGGAAGCGGCACCGATGGAAGGTGGCACTGGTGGAGGCTTCACCGATGGAGGGTGGCACTGGGAGTGGCGGCACTGGTGAGGGCGGCAACTGGTGAAGGTGGCACTGGTGAGGGTGGCACTGGTGGAGGTGGCACTGATGGAGGGCGGCACTGGTGGAGGGCTGCACCGGATGGAGGCACTGGTGGAGGGCGGCACCGATGGAAGGTACCTGTGGAGGCTGCACTGGATGGAGGGTTGCACGGGCAGGCACTGGTGGAGGCCGCACCGAAGTGGAGGCGCGGCACTGGTAGCGTGGCACCGCGGAGGGCGGCACTGGTGGAGCGGCACCGGTGAAGGTGGCACTGGCTGAGTGGAGCGGCACAGGAGGCGGCACTGGGGAAGGTGTAACTGGTGGAGGTGGCACCGGTGGAAGTGGCACTGGTGGAGGTTGCAACCACTGAAGGGCAACGGTGGAGGCGGCACTGATGGAGGCGGCACCGGGAGAGGCCGCACCATGAGGGGTGGCACTGGTGGAAGGTGGCACTGGTGGAGGGCCACCTGACGGAGGGCGGCACTGGTGGAGGGCGGCACTGGTGGAGGGGCGTGGAGGGCGGCACGGAGGGCGGCACCACGTGGAGTGGCGGCAAACGGTGAAAAATGCACCATGGAGGGTGGCACAGGTGGCACTGGTGAAGGTGGCACTGGTGGAGGGCTGCAACTGATGGAGGCGGCACCGGTGGAAGGTGGCACTGGTGAGGGCAGCACTGAGGGCAACCGGTGGAGGCGTCACTGGATGGAGGGCGGCACTGGTGGGGAAGCACTGGTGGAACCCGGCACTGGAGGAGGGGCCGGTGGAGGCGTAACCGAAGGCGGCACCGATGAAGCGGCACTTCAAAGAGGCACCTGATGGAAGGTGGCACAGGGAGGTCACCGATGGAGGGCGGCACCTGCGGAAAGCGCACTGGTGGAGGCCACCGATGAGGTGGCACTGGCGGAGGGCTGCACTGGTGGGCGGCACCAGCTGAGGCATGCACTGGTGGAGGCGGCACTGAGGAGGGGTGACACTGTGAGGCTGCAACTGGTGAGGGCGGCACTGGTGAGTGTGGCACTGGTGAGGCGCACTGGTGGAGGGCGCACTGGCGGAAGGTGACACTGGTTGAGGCTGCACTGGTGGAAGCGCGGCACTGGAAGCGCGGCACTGGTGGAGGCCGGCACCGGTGGAGGCACTGATGGAGGGTGGAACTGATGAGGGTGGCACTGTGAGGGCTGCAATGGTGAGGGCGGCACCGGTGGAAGGTGGCACGGTGGAGGCGGCACTGTGGAGGTGGCAACTGGCGGAGGGCGGCACTGGTGGAGGCACTCAAAGGTGAAGCCAGGGCACTGGTGAGTGGCGCACCGGTGAGGGCAGGCACTGTGGAGGCGGCACTGGAGGGCACACAGGCAATGGGAGGGGGCACTGGCGGGAAGGTGCGCACTGGTGGAGGCCGCACTGCGTGAGGCAGCACTGGTGGAGGCTGGGCGGAGGCGCACTGGTGAGGGGCAAGTCCGGTGAAGGTGGCAACTGGTGGAGGGCGGCACTGGTGAAGGTGCGCACTGGTGGAGGGCGGCACTGGTGAAGGCACAAGGCACTGGTGGAGGCGGCACTGGTGGAGGCGGCACGGATGAGGGCGGCACGCGAGCGCACTGGTGGAGCGGCACTGGTGGAGTGGCGGCACTGGTGGAAGCGTGCACTGTGGAGGGCGCACTGATGAGGGCGGCGCTGATGAGGGTGGCAACTGATGAGGGCACCGGTGGAGGCGGCACTAGTGGAGGGCGGCACCGATGGAAAAGCGGCACCGATGGAGAAGGGCACAATGGAGGGTTGGCACTGGTGGAGGCAGCACCTGTGAGGGCGGCACCGATGGAGGGTGGCACTGGTGAAGGCGGCACTTGTGAGAGGGCGGCACTGGATGAGGCACCGATGATGGCACTGGGGCAAGCGGCACTGGTGGAGGCTGCACTGATGGAGGTGGCACTGCAGCGGGGTGGCACTGTGAGTGCGCACTGATGGAGGTGGCACTGGTGGAGGCGGCACCGATGGAGGGATGCACTGATGGAGGGTGCACCAGTGGAGGGCGGCAACTGGTGAAGGCGGCACCGATGTAGGGCGGCACTGATGGAGTGGTGGCACCTGACGGAGGGCGGCACTGTGGGAAGTGCAGCACTGAAAATGCAAATTGATGGAGGGTGCACTGGGGAAGTGGCACTGGTGGAGGCTGCACCGATGGAGGCGGCACCGGGGAAGTGGCACTGGTGGAAGGTTGCACTGATGGAAAGTGGCACTGGGGAAGCGGCACTGGGGAAGGCGGGCACTGGTGGAGGGCTGCACTGATGGAGGGTGGCAATTAGCGGAGGGCGGCACTGTGAAGTGGCACTGAAGTGGAGTGGCTGCACTGATGGAGGGCACTGGTGAAGGTGGCACGGGTGAGTCGCACTGATGAGGCACCTGGGGAAGCGTGGCGCTCTGGTGGAGGGGCTGCACTGATGGAGGTGGCACCTGTGAAGGTGGCACTGGTGGAGGCCAAATTGATGGAGGCGGTGGAGGGCGGCATCTGATGGGAGGCGGTACTGGGGCGCGGTAATTGATGGAGGCGTTCGGGTAAAGGTGTACTGGTGGAGTGGCGGTACTGATGGAGGGTGGGCACTGGGGAGGTGGCACTGGTGGAGGGCTGCACTGGCGGAGGTGGCACTAGTGCGCAATTGATGGAGTGCGCTACTGGTGGAGGGCGGCACTGGTAGCGTAGTAGCGCTCGATGGATGGCGGCACTGGTGGCACTGGTGGAGGGCGCACTTACTTTTTGCGGTGGCATTGGGGGGGGCGCGGCACTGTGAGGTCACTGATGGAGGGTGGTACCTAGTGGAGGGCGCACTGATGGAGTGGGTGCAACCTGCAAAACTGGTGAAGGGCACTGGTGAAGGCACCGACGGAAAAGGGCACCAGCGGAGGGCGGCACTGGGGAAGGTGGCACTGGTGAAGGCAGCACTGGTAGCGGCGCACTGATGGAGGTGGCACAGTTGAGGGCGCACTGGTGGAAAATTGGCACTGATTGAGGGCGGCACTGGTGGAAGGTGGCACTGGTGGACGGCACTGATGGGAGGGTAGCACTGGGAAGGTGGCACTGGTGGAGGCTGCACTGATGGAGGGTGGCACTAGTGGAGGGCGGCACTGATGAGGGGTGGCACTGGGAAAGTGCAACAAGTGAAAAACGGCAACAAGTAAGGCGGAACTGATGGAGGTGGCACTAAAGTGGAGGGCGGCACTGGGAAGGTGGCACTAGTGGAGGCTGCACTGATGGAGGTAGCACTGGTGGAAAGGTGGCACCGGTGGAGGCTGCACTGATGGAGGTGGCACTGGGAAGGCACGGTGGAGGCCGCACTGATGGAGGGCGGCACTGGGGAAGGTGGCACTGGTGGAGGGCACCTGATAGGGGTAAACAGCTGGAGTAGGCAGCACTGGTGAAGCGGCCTCATGGAGGGCAGCACTGCTAAGGGCAGCACTGATGGAGGGCGGCACTGGTGAATGGGCAACTGATGGAGGGCGCACTGATGGAGGGTGTAATGATTGAATATCAGACCAAAAGCTTACAGCCCAAAATTACATCACACACAAAGCAGTACGTACAGACAGACCGCGTGGTACCTAACACATCAGGCCTGACACACCGCAGGTCAAGACCTAACCCTGCCTAAATTTGCGTAACCCTACGATATAACTGTAAGAGAAAACACACCTGGCACCCACCCGCGGCAATAATTACAAAGCACTACTGTCCTGCGACATACCCTCACCTGGGCAAACAACCCTGGACCAGACCTGACGGGACAAGCGACCCACCAATGCCAGCACTGCCACCCGGCTCTCAACAGGGGATGGAGCCTCACCAGAGTCTGATAACGGCAGGCCAGCACCACGCCCTGTCCCGCCCATCAAAGAATCCGTCACTAAAGGCAACGAGAACAACGTAAGAACATAAGAAAGCGGGATACTGCAGGAGGCTGACTGGCCATATACAGATCTTTCACACCATCCCAACACTCCATGTGCTTTCAGTCTTGAAGCTCCCTAACCCCCGATCCTACTATAGCACTCGGTAGCCTATTCCACATATCCACAACTCTACTACCAAAACCAGTGTCGCCTATCCTTCTCTGAATCAATTTATCTAACGGCGCTTCATTTGTCTAGTTATTCGTTGCCACGGGAGCTCAAAACATCTTCCATTTTACCCTTGTTTCACTTCTTACCCACTTTGCACACCTCATCATATTCCCTAACTCTACGCCTCTAATGAATGTAAGCTCAAGCTTTTCAGTCTTCATATGGAGGCTGTTTCAATATTATGGATCATTTTGTCATTCTTTGCAATTCCGCGCCACCCGCGTCCACTTATGCAATGGCGACACCCGGTGAACTGGAATCAGCATAATCCTGCTGTGTACCGCCCTGGTCGCCAGGTGTTTCTGGCGATAACGTCAGCAGTTCCGGTGACGATATGGAACCCAAGAATCCGGTTTGTTTGCCGCGAACGCTAATATTACTGTTTCGGTTGCTCGTCGTCGCTAACAAATTACACCCAGATCTTTCACAAACTGAGTTTCTATCTGTGTTAATCTAGTTTATACTTAACGTTTGTATTCGTCTTCCATCTGTAATAATTCATTGACGGTATTAAAATTCATTTGCTGCCTTACTGACTACGCGGCAGTATTCAGATCTCGGAAGGTGTCTGTTACTGTCTGGAATGACGCCTGGCTTTGCATTATTCAAATTTATTTTAATGGGCTTAGTTATGTCAACAAGATTGTTAATATAACAAAATGTTGGGGGAAATTTCATCAGTAATTTCAGTCTGGACTTTTAAATTCATTTTGACTTTTGTTTTACCAGTTACCTAATCTATTTTAATACTGATCTTAATTTATTCCATGCTTCTACCTTCCTTATCAACAATAATCTCATGAGGGACTCTATCGAATGCTTCACTGAATCTAAATAAATTATATCATATGACTTATTCGCCATCTTTACCGCCCAAATACTTCTGGCGCGTACCTGGTGGCGGCTGCCAGCCCTGGGTGAAACTCCGTGCTGAGAAGAAATTTAAATTAAGTTGAATTGCTCTAAGGTGGCTTTGATTTTGCAGCAACACTGGTTCAGCACCGCCTATGACGATGTGGAGACTAATGGGGAGGCAATTTGATGCGCTGACTTATCACTTTTCGGAAAAATCGGAACTACATTTGCAGTCGCTTCCTGGCACTCCAGGCCCGACTCTAATGACTTATTAAATAAAACGCTAATGGATTACCAATCTCTACATTCTTTTAATATTCTGCATGGCACCTCGCCTGAATCTGCGCTGACGGCGAGGCTCAGCTGTTAACTACTTTTAAGCGCCATCGCTATTTTTAGCAATATTGATGACCACCAGAATACCGTCGTTATGACAATCTTATAACCCGAACCGGTGCAGTTTTTCATTTGGTAATACGGACAAAATGACTATTTTAACGCATACATTTCTAACTCATCATCAGCCATTCCTGTCAAGTTTTAAGGGGACCTTATTGTATCTCTAACCTTTGATTTCGAGCAAGCAGTTGATAAAGCTTTTGGGGGTTATTTTATTCGCTTGCTACCTTGATTTGGCAATTTTATTTCCTACTTGTTTTTTAATTGTCTTGTTAGGTTCCATAGTAAATCAAGTAAGTGATTTTCGCCTTTCTTAACTTCTATACCTTTTCCTACATCTGTTCATTATTCAATCATTTTGCTGGTTCCAGATCGCATCTGAATTTTCTTTTGTGGGATGTAATTATTTTCGGCATTATTGATTGGTTCAACAAACTGTCCACAAAGCAGCCGCTAACCAACTGGGTTCAAGCCGGATGTGCCTGGAGGTGTGGGGACACCTTTGGACCTAGGTCATCTTTTGTCTTTGCTACCGCGAATTAGCTCTTCCTAAAATCTGGACTGGCGCCGAATTTCCTGGCTATCCATATTATGTTAAATATATGGCTGCGATCACTGTTTCAGTTCGTTCTTAATCTCTAAATATCTTTATTAGATTTTCATTATTACTGAGAACCTGAGATATTATTTTAGTGGCGAGGCGAATTGATATAAAAACTATCTTGTACTACTTCTAGAAAATCTTCGCATTCATTATCGCTGCTGATTTCAATCCATGCCCGAAAGTGCTGAAATCGCCGTAATCCATCTGGCCGCCTAATTCAACGCATAACAGTAAGTGCTGGCCGTGCAGTGATCTCGATCAACGATCGACTCAGCGGAAATGCCCATTCTTAATTGTGCTGGCGTCGAACATATCAGTCTATCAGCACCAGGTAATGAATTCCCCATTAATTCCCCGCGCAATTGAAATAAAGCTAAATAAGTAGTTGTGTTTTATATACTATACTTGTAATTGAGCCTGGTTAATATAGTTTCTCACACCTCGAGACACGCTACCAAACTTCCTGTCTTTTACATCTCCTACTATAAATATTCTACCAGTATAAGTAATACCCTTCTGGTGAGTCTTGTCACACAGCGGCACTGGTGAGAAGGCGGTACTCTGGTGAAGGTGGCACTGGTGGAGGGCACTGGTGGAGGGCGCGAATCTTGAAGGGGTGGCACTGGTGGAGGGCGGCACTGGTGAGTGGCACCAGTGAGGCGGCACTGGTGAAGGTGGCACTGGTGAGGGCGGCACTGGTGGAGGCGCACTGGTGAGGGCGGCAAATTGGTGAAGGGTGGCACTGTGAGGCGGTAACAGTGGAGGGCGAGCACTGGGTGAGGGCGGCACTGGTGGAGGGCGGCACTGGAGGGCGGCACTGAAAGGGCACTGGTGAGGGGCGGCAATTGGTGAAGGTGGTACTGTGGAGGGCGGCACTGGTGGAGGTGGCACTGGTGAAGGTGGTAACTGGTGAGTGGGCGTACCGAAGTGAAGGGTGGCACTGTGAAGGTACTGGTGAGGGCGGCACTGTGAAGTGCGGCACTGGTGATGGGGTGGCACTGGTGAAGGTGGCACCTGGTGAAGGCGCACTGTGAAGGGTGGCACTGGTGAAGGGTGGCACTGGGAAGGGTGGCACTGGTGAAGGGTGGCACTGGTGAAGGTGCGCACTACGGAGGGCGGCACTGGTGAAGGGTGGCACTGGTGAAGGGTGGCACTGGTGAAGAGGCGGCACTGGTGGCGGTGGCGTACTGGTGAAGGGCGAATACCCATGGAGGGCGGCACCTGGTGGGTGGCACTTGTGAAGGTGGCAATTGTGGAGTGCACTTGATGGAGGGGCACTGTGGAAGGGTGGTGAATGGTGGTGGTACCTGTGGAGGGTGGTAACTGGTAAGGTGGCACTGGTGGAAGGCTGCACTGGAGGGTGATGAGCGCACCTAGTGAGTGCGAAGCAGCGGAAGGTGGCTGTGGTACTAAAAGGGGCACCGGGGGGCGGCACCAGCAAGTGCACCTTGAAGGGCACCTAGCGCAAAGGCACTGGTGAGGCAACCTGTGAGTGTCACGGTTAGCGCACTGGTGGAAGGGCGGCACTGGTGAAGTGCCACTGGTGGAAGGTGGTAACTGTGGAAAGGGCCACTGGTGAAGGTGGGTAACCTGGTGGCTGGCACTGGCGGAGAGGCTGCACTGGTGGCACGGTGGAGGCGTAACAAGTAAGGCACGCTTAGTGGGGCACCAGGAGGGGTGGCACTGGTGGAAGGCGGCACTGGTGAAGGTGGCACTGTGGAGGGGTGGTAACTGGTGGAGGGCCTGGCACAGCAGTGAAGGGTGGGCACCGCGAGGTGGTAATTGGCAAAGGCAAAGCGCACGGCAAGGCACGGGTAAGGCACTGGGAAGGCACCTGGGCGGCACATGGTGGTGGCACATGCAAGGGTGGTCACTGGTGAGGGCGCAAGACTTGTGAAGGGTATAACTGGGCGTGAAGGCACTGGTGAAGGGCGCACTGGTGAAGGTGGCACCAGGAGGTGGCACTGGTGAAGGGCGCACGGTGAAGGTGCACTGGTGAAGGGTGGCACCGGTGAAGGCGGCACTGGTGAAGGGTGGCACTGGTGAAGGTGGCACTGTGGAAGGGCACGGCACTGGTGAAGTGCGGCACTGGTGAAGGGTGGCACTGGTGAGGCACCGGTAGCGTGGCACTGTGAAGGCACCGGCGTGAAGGGCGGCACTGCGAAGGGTGGCACTGGCGGGAGGTGGCACTGGTGAAGGTGGCACTGGTGAAGGGTGCAGAACTTAAGGGTGGCACTGAGTGAGGCACTGGTGAAGGCGGCAACTGGTGGAGGTGGCACTGGTGAGGGTGGCACTGGTGAAGGGTACCTGGTGAAGGGCACTGGTGAAGGGTGGCACTGGTAAGGGTGGTACTGGTGGAGTGGGCAATGGTAAAGGCGCACTGGTGTATGGGGTGGTACCTGTGGAGGGCGGCACTGGTGAAGGGCACTGGTGGAGGGCGCACTGGTGAAGGTGGCACTGGTGAAGGTGGCACTGGTGAAGGGTGGCACTGTGAGGGTGTACCTGGCAAGGGGCGGCACGTGAGGGTGGCACTGGTGGAGGTGCACTGGTAGCGGTCGTACGAAAGAGTGGCAACGGTGGAGGGTGGCACTGGTGAAGGGTGTCGGTGAAGTGCGGCACTGGTGAAGGGGTGGCACTGGTGAAGGCGGCACGAAGTGCGCACTGGTGAAGGTGGGCACTGGGAAGGTGGTACTGGTGGAGGGCGGCACTGGTGAAGGGTGGCACTGGTGAAGGGGTGGCACTGGTGAATGGCACTGTGAAGTGGCAACAGTGAAGGGTGGTACTGGGCGGAGGAGCACCTGAAGGGCGGCACTGGTGGGCGTGGCACTGGTGAAAGGGCGGCACTTGTGAAGGGTGGCACTGGTGGAGGGCACTGGGTAAAGGGCACCGAGTGGTGGAATGCAGGGCGGCACTGGTGAAGGGTGGCACTCAGCAGCGCGTACTGGTGAAGGGTGGTACCTGTGAGGTACCCAGTAGCGTCGCACTGGTGAGGCGGCACCCGGTAGCGGGTGAAGGTGAAGTACCTGGTGGAGGGCGGTACTGGTGAAGATGCACCGGTGAGGTGGTACTGGTGAGGGTGGCACTGGTGAAGGGCGGCACTGGTGAAGGCACTGGCAATATACTGGTGAGGGTAGGAACGGTGAAGAGCGGCACTGGTGAAGGGTGGCACTGGCAACTGGAGGCACTATGAGGTGGCACAGTTAAGCACCAGTGGAGGCACCTGATGAAGGGCGTGGCACTGGTGGAGGGGTACCGGCAATGGATGGTACTGGTGAAGGGTGGCACCATGGAAGGGCGCACTGGTGGAAGGAACGGTGGCGTGGGCACTGGTGAGGCGGCACTGGTGAAGGTGGTACCTGGTGAAGGAGGTACCCTGCGGAGAGAATTTGGTGAAGGCACCTGGTGAAGGGTGGCACTGGTGGAAGGGTACTGGTGAAGGCGCACTGGTGGAGGGTGAAACTGGTGGGAGGGCGGCACCGTGGAGGGCGGCACCGGTAGCGGCACAGTGAGGGCGGTACTGGTGAAGGGTGGTGTGGTGAGGCACTGGTGGCATGGCACTGGTGAAGGGATGGAACGGTGGAGGGCGGCACTGGTGGAGGTACCAGTGAGGGCGGCACTGACAGTGCTAGGCGGAAGGGTGGCACTGGTGAAGGAGTGGAGGCACTGGTGAAGGGGTGGCAATTGGGTGGCGGCACTGGCGAAGGTACTTGGTGGAGGTGGCACTGGTGGAGGGCGGCACTGTGGTGAGTGGGAAGTGGCACTGGTGAAGGGTGGCACTGGTGGAGTGGGCACTGGTGAGGCACCAGTGGAGGGTACTGGTGGAGGTGGAACCGGTGGAGGGTGGCACTGGAAGGGTGGCACTGGTGGAGGGCACGGCGAGGCACTAAGAAGGCACTGGTGAAGGCAAGCACTGGGTGGGCCAAGTACAGTGGATGGTACTGGCAGAGGTGGTAACCTGGGTGTGGCACTGGTGGAGGGCAGCACTGGGGCGGAGGAACTAGTGGGCGGTGTAACGGAGGAGTGGCGAACTGGGTGAAGGATGTTCGGTGGAGGCGGCACTGGTAAAGTGGCAACTGGCGGAAGGGAAGTACTGGTGGAGAGGCTGCAGGAGGCACCGCGATGGCAAGTACCGGTAGGTGGTAATTGGTGAAGGCTACTGGTGAAGTGGCGGCACTGGTGGAGGGTGGCACTGGTGGAGGGCGGCACTGGTGGATGGGTGGCACTGGTGGAGGGGAGCACTGGTGAAGGGTGGCACCGGTTTAGGATGGCACTGGTGAAGGGCACCTGCACGGTGGAGGTGGCACGTAAGGCACTGGTGAAGGGCACGGGCGGAGGGTGAGTGGAGGCACGGTGGAGGCACTGGGCGAGGGCACCGGCGAAGGGGTGGCACTGTGAGGCGGCACTGGTGAAGGTGGCACTGGTGAAGCGTGGCACTGGTGAAGAGTGGCACTGGGGTGAGGCACTGGGTGAAGGGGTGGTACTGGAAGAGGCGGCACTGGTGAGGGTGGCACTGCTGAGGGTGCGTGAAGTGGGTACTGGTGAAGGCGGCACCGGCGGAGGGAAGGTACTGGTGGAGGGTGGGTACTGGTGAAGGCACCGGAGGCACAATGGTGCACCAAGAAGGCACTGGTGGAAGGCGGCACTGGTGAAGTGGAACTGGTGAAGGGGTGGTACTGGTGAGGTAACCGGCGGTAAGGCACTGGTGAAGGCTGGTACATGGAGGTACTGGTGAAGGGGTGCCACTGGTGAAAGGTGGCACGGTGAGGGCAAGCACTGTAGTAGCGGTAGTGAGGGCGGCACAATTTGGTGGAGTGCGGCACCAGTAAAGGCACCGTGAAGGTTGATAATGGGAGGAGGTACGGTGAGGAGTACTGGTGAAGGGCGCAAGAATTGAAGAGGTGGTACTGGTGAAGGCGGTACTGGTGGAGGCGGTACTGGTGAAGGGTGTGGGTACTGGTGAAGGGCACTGGTGGAGGTGGCACTGGTGAGGCACTGGTGAGGGGTGGTACTGGTGAGGGTAGGCAACTGGTGAAGGCGCACTGGTGGAGGGGCAACGTGAAGGTGGCACTGGTGAAGGAGGTGCACTGGTGAAGGTGGCACTGGTGAAGGGCGTACCGCGGAGGGTGGTACTGGGCGGAGGCACTGGTGTGGAGGGGCAGTACTGGTGGAGTGCACTGGTGAAGGCACTGGTGAAGGGCACTGGTGGAGGCGGCACCTGGTGAAGTGGGTGGTGGCAAGGCAACTGGTGAAGGGTGAAGCACTGGTGAGGGCGGCACAGATGGAGATGGCACTGGTGGAGGCACGCTGGAAGGCGGGAACTGGTGAAGGGCACTGGCTGGGGTGGTACCTGAAGTGAAGGGCGGCACTGGTGGAGGGTGGCACTGGTGGCACCGGTGAAGGGGCGCACTGGTGAAGGGGTGGCATGGTGGAGGGTGGCACTGCAGGAAGGGCACCGGGGCGGGCGCACTGGCGGAAGGGTGGCACTGGTGAAGGCACTGGCGAAGTGCGGCACAAGCGCGGCACTGGTGAAGGGTGGCACTGGTGAGGTGGTACTGGTGGAGGCACCTGGCAACTGGTGAAGGGCGGCAATGGTGAAGGGTGCACTGGTGAAGGGTGGAAGCGGCACTGGTAGGGTGCACTGGTGAAGGTGGCACTGGTGGAGGGCGGCACTGGTGAAGGGTGTAGGGGTACTTGTGAAGGGGTGCACTGGTGAAAGGCACTGGTGGAGGGTGGTACGAGTAGGTGGCACTGGTGGAGGCACCGGTGAGGGTGGCACTGGTGGGAGGGTGGCACTGGTGAAGGGTGAACTGGTGATGGTGGCACTGGTGGAGGTGGCACTGGTGAAGGGTGGCACTGGTGGATGGCACTGGTGAAGGTGGCACTGGTGAAGGGGGCACTGGAAGTGGCTGGGCGGCACTGGTGGGGATGGCACTGGTAGGGGGGTACTGTGGAGTGGGCGCACTGGTGAAGGGTGGCACTGGTGAAGGGTGGTACTGGTGAAGGGCGGCACTGGTGGTGGCACTGGTGGAGTGGTGTACTGGTGAGGGCAAGACACTGGTGAAGGGTGGCACTGGTGAAGGGTGGTACTGGTGAAGGGCGCACCGGTAGGGTGGCACTGGTGGAGGTGGCACTGGTGAAGGTGGCACTGGTGAAAGGGCGGCACTGGTGAAGGTGGCACTGGTGAAGGGTGGCACTGGTGAGGGGTGGCACTGGTGGGTGGTGCACTGGTGAAGGCATGAAGGTGGCACTGGTGGAGGGTAACTGGTGAAGGGTGGCACTGGTGGTAGGTGGCACTGGTGGAGTGGCACTGGTGAAGGGTGGCACTGAAGGGTGGTGGTACTGGTGAAGGGTGGCACTGGTGGAGGTGGCACTGGTGAGGGGGAAATGGAAGGTGGCAGGCGGCACTGGGAAGGTGGTACTGGTGAAGGTGGCACTGGTGGAGGGTGTCACTGGTGAAGGGTGGTGCTGTGAAGGTGGCACTGGAGGGCGGCACTGGTGAAGTGGCACTGGTGGAGGCGGCACTGGTGAAGGGTGGTACTGGGAAGGCAGTAACTGGTGTGAAGGCACTGGTGGAGGCGAAGTGGGTGCACTGGGTGGAGGGTAAACGGTGGAGGGTGGCACTGGTGAAGGGCGCACTGGTGGATGGGTGGCACTGGTGGAGGTGGCACTGGTGAAGGTGGCACTGGTGAAGGGTGCACTGGTGAAGGGTGTGCACTGGTGAAGGGCGGCAATCGGTGAAGGGCGGCACTGGTGAAGGGTGGCACTGGTGAAGGGTGGCACTGGTGGAGGGCGGCACTGGTGAAGGGTGGCACTGGTGAAGGTGGTGGCACTGGTGAAGGGGCGGCACTGGTGAAGGGGTGGCACTGGTGGGAGGCGGTGCCTGTGAGGGCGGCACTGGTGAAGGTGGCACGTGGGGTGGCACTGTAGGTGGGGCACAAGTGAAGGGTGGCACTGGTGGAGGGTGGTACTGGTGAAAGGGTGGCACTGGGAAGTGAGTACTGGTGAAGGCGATTGTGAAGGGTGGCACTGGTGAAGGGTGGCACTGGTGAAGGGTGGCACTGGTGGAAGTGAACTGGTGAAGGCGGCACTGGTGGAGGGTGGCACTGGTGGAGGGTGGCACTGGTGAAGGGTGGCACTGGTGGAGGGTGGTAATGGAATGAGGCACCGTGGAGGGTGGTACTGGTGGAGGTGGCACTGGTGAAGGGCGCCTGGTAAGGGTGGCACTGGTGAAGGATGGTACTGGTGGAGGGTGTACCTGGTGAAGGGCGGCACTGGTGAAGGGTACTGTGAAGGGTGGCACTGGTGAAGGGGTGGCACTGGGAGGGGTGGCAATGGTGAAGGGCGGCACTGGTGGAGGGTGGCACTGTGAAGGTGGCACTGGTGAAGGTGGCACTGGTGAGGGTGGTACTGGTGAAGGATGGTACTGGTGGAGGGTGGCACTGGTGAAGGGCGCACTGGTGAAGGTGGCACTGGTGAAGGGTGGCACTGGTGAGGGCGGCACTGGTGAAGGTGGCACTGGTGAAGGGTGGCACTGGTGGAGGTGGCACTGGTGAAGGGCGGCACTGGGGGAGGTGGCACTGGTGAAGGGCGGCACTGGTGAAGGGTGGCACTGGTGGAGTGGGTGGTACTGGTGGAGGCGTACTGGTGGAGGGCGGCACTGGTGAAGGGTGGCACTGGTGAGGGCGGTACTGGTGAAGGGTGGCACTGGTGAGGCGGCACTGGTGAGATGGCACTGGTGAAGGTGGTACTGGTGAGGGCGGCACTGTGAGGGTGGTACTGGTGAGGCGGCACTGGTGGAGGGCGGTACTGGTGAAGGGTACAGGGAGGCGGCACTGGTGAGGGTGGCACTGGTGAAGGGTGGCACTGGTGAAGGGGTGGCACTGGTGAGGGGTGGTACTGGTGGAGGGCGGCACTGGTGGAGGGCGGCACTGGTGGAGGGTACTGGTGGGAGGGCGGCACTGGTGAAGGGGTGGCACTGGTGGAGGGCGCACTGGTGGAGGTGGCACTGGTGGAGGGTGGCACTGGTGGAGGGTGGTACTGTGGAGGGCGGCACTGGTGAAGGGTGGCACTGGTGGAGGGCGGCACTGGTGGAGGGGTGGCACTGGTGAAGGGTACTGGTGAAGGGTGGCACTGGTGAGGCGGCACTGGTGAAGGATGGTACTGGTGGGGTGGCACTGGTGAGGGCGGCACTGGTGGAGGGTGGCAACTGGTGAAGGGTGGCACTGGTGAAGGGTGGCACGGGAGGGCGGCACTGGTGAAGGATGGTACTGGTGGAGGGTGGCACTGGTGAAGGGGTGGCACTGGTGAAGGTGGTACTGGTGAGGGCGCACTGGTGGGAGGGCGGCACTGGTGAGGGTGGCACTGGTGAAGGGCGGCACTGGTGAAGGGTGGCACTGGTGAAGGGTGGTACTGGTGGGAGGCAGCACTGGTGGAGGGCGGCACTGGTGAAGGGTGGTACTGGTGGAGGCGGTACTGGTGAAGGTACTGGTGAAGGATGGTACTGGTGGAGGGCGGCACTGGTGAAGGGTACTGGTGAAGGGTGGTACTGGTGAAGGTGGTACTGGTGGAGGGTGGTACTGGTGAAGGTGGTACTGGTGAAGGGGCGCACTGGTGGAGGGGTGGTACTGGTGAGGGCGGCACTGGTGGAGGGTGGCACTGGTGGAGGGGTGGGTACTGGTGAAGGTGGTACTGGTGGAGGGTGGCACTGGTGAAGGGTGGCACTGGTGAAGGGTGTACTGGTGAAGGATGGTACTGGTGGAGGCGGCACTGGTGAGGGTGGTACTGGTGGAGGGCGGCACTGGTGGAGGGTGGTACTGTGAGGTACGGGGGAGGTGGCACTGGTGAAGGGTGGTACTGGTGGAGGGCGGCACTGGTGGAGGGTGGTACTGGTGAAGGGTGGCACTGGTGAAGGGTGGCACGTGAAGGGTGGCACTGGTGAAGGGTGGCACTGGTGAAGGTGGTACTGGTGAAGGGTGGTACTGGTGAAGGGTGGTACCGGGAGGGTGGCACTGGTGGAGGGCGGCACTGGTGAAGGGTGGTACTGGTGGAGGGTGGTACTGGTGAAGGGTGGTACTGGTGAAGGATGGCACTGGTGGAGGGCACTGGTGAAGGGTGGTACTGGTGGAGGGTGGTACTGGTGAAGGGTACTGGTGGAGGGGTGGTACTGGTGAAGGGTACTGGTGAAGGATGGTACTGGTGGAGGGGGCACTGGTGGAGGGCGGCACTGGTGGAGGGCGGCACTGGTGAAGGGTGGTACTGGTGAAGGGTAAGGTGGAGGGTGGTGACTGGTGAAGGGTACTGGTGAAGGGGCGGCACTGGTGAGGGTGGTACTGGTGGAGGGCGGCACTGGTGGAGTGGGTACTGGTGGAGGTGGCACTGGTGAAGGGTGGTACTGTGAGGGTGGCACTGGTGAAGGGTGGCACTGGTGAAGGGTGGTACGGTGAAGGAGTGCAGCCTGGTGGAGGGGTGGCACTGGGGAGGGTGCACTGGGGAGGGCGGCACTGTGGAGGTGGTACCAGAGGTGGCAACTGGTGTGAAGGGGCAACAGAAGGGTGGCACGGTGAGGCAACTGTGGGAGGTGGTACTGGTGAAGGGTGGCACTGGTGAAGGGTGGCACTGGTGGAGGGCGGCACTGGTGGAAGGTGACACTGGTGAGGGCTGCACTGGTGGAAGGTGGCACTGGTGAAGGGCGGCACTGGTGGAGGGCGGCACTGGTGGAGGGTGGCACTGATGGAGGGTGGCACTGATGGAGGGTGGCACTGGTGGAGGGCTGCACTGGTGGAGGGCGGCACTGGTGGAAGGTGGCACTGGTGGAGTAGGCACTGTGGGAGGGTGGCACTGGTGGAGGGCGGCACTGGTGAGGGCGGCACTGGTGGAAGGTGGCACTGGTGAGGCGGCACTGGTGGAGGGCGGCACTGGTGAAGGTGGCACTGGTGGAGGGCGGCACTGGAGGGCGGCACTGATGGAAGGTGGCACTGGTGGAGGGGTGGACTGGTGGAGGGTGGCACTGGTGGAAGGTACTGGTGAGGGCGGCACTGGTGGGGTGGCACTGGTGAGGGTGGCACTGGTGAGGGGCGGCACTGGTGGAAGGTGGCACTGGTGGAGGGCGGCACTGGTGGAGGGCGGCACTGGTGGAGGGGCGGCACTGGTGGAAGGTGGCACCTGATGGGAGGTGGCACTGGTGAGGGTGGCACTGGTGAGGGCGGCACTGGTGGAGGGCGGCACTGGGTGAGGCGCACTGGTGGAGGGCGGCACTGGTGGAGGGCGGCACTGGTGGAAGGTGGCACTGGTGGAGGCGGCACTGATGGAGGGCGGCGCGAGGAGGCACTGGATGGAGGGTGGCACTGGTGAGGGCGGCACTGGTGAGTGGCGGCACTGATGGAGGGCACATGGAGTGGCGGCACTGGGAGGAGGGCACTGGTGAGGGGCAGCACTGGTGAGGGCGGCACTGGATGGAGGTGGCACTGGTGAGGGCGGCACTTGTGGAGGGCGGCACTGATGGAGGGCGGCACTGGGAGGATGGCACTGGGGGAAGGTGGCACTGGTGGGAGGGCTGCACTGATGGAGGTGGCACTGTGGAAGGTGGCACTGGTGAGGGCGGCACTGATGGAGGGTGGCACTGGTGGAGGGCGGCACTGATGGAGGGATGCATTGATGAGAGGGTGGCACT